ATAGCAATCAGTAAAGTTCTCAATCTCCATGAAGAAATCCGCTGAAATAAGAAAGCGATAGAAAATGTGTATGGTCATCTTAAGAACGATAAATCCAAAACAATGCAAACATGCATATGATTGGTAATCATCAGCAAGCAGAAATTCGGGACAGAGATACAGAACATTTCATCTAGCAACCATACCAAGAAATTGCAGAGCAGAAGCAGGGAGGTTCATTATAACATGATCAACATGCTCCCAGGGCTTAGCTTTTGACAACTCAGAGGCTCTCATCCTCTTGGTAGTGCTTCCCCTCCTCTTAATACCAGTTTTAGCATTTCCATTTTCTTCAAGGAAAAGTCAAAGAAGAATTAACTCCAGCAGTGAAATAATGATCCTCTTCATTTAAGAAGACAGACTGAAATATACCTTCCAGACAACTATGTGATGGCCTTTTCATTGCAGCAGATGCATCTGTCTCACTACAGGAATTCTGCAAGCACTCCGCATCATTTGCAGCTTCACCATCTATTATCTTTTCCTTAACTGAATGAACATAGAAATTAAAGAAAGAACAATACAGCACAAAAATGAAAAACAAATATTATCTGAGTTAAGACAAGTCAGTTACCACTGACTCTCGTGTTCTCTCCCCTTGTTTCACCATTTATTAACATACTGCAATCTTCAGAAGCTTTGACCATGGAAATATCTGCCTCTGAATTAATTTCACAAATTGGCACTGCCAGCAACTGAGAAATGAATTTCCTAGCATCCATATTATATGAACAAACAAGATCATCGACCTTATTTATTTTTGCATTGATCTTCAAATAATGGATGCTGTCTGGATTTAGATCATTTGCATAAACTAAGCATCCTTTCTGTGCTGCTGGAATAGCAAAAGGCCCAATACCAGCAAACAAATCACAAATAGTTTCCCCTGGATGGAACTGAGATATAAGCCGTATGTGTTCATGCTCCAATCTTGAATTCCAGTAAACCAAGCTGTAGTCAAGCTTAAATGTTGCCCCATATTGCTTCACTTCTGTAACCATGTTATTTTCTCCAGCTAAAATTTCAAACTTTGGCACTCGAAACTCATTTGTAATTGTCCCAACTTTATTGACGACAGTTCTGATTCTAGGATAATTTTTCTGCCAACATATAGCATAGAAAATATTTAAATAATTTCCATGGCATAAATAAGATAGCAAACATTGCAGCAGTAGTAGGATTCTAGATTCAAAAAGATGGCAAACACAATTTTGGGTCCAGAATAAATATCAATTGAGAACAAACAGAAAAGAGTCACCCAAATACAAAGAGATCTCATTATTTGGTCCTGAAAGCATTCACCAAAGTGGGGAAAGAAAATAATATGGAACAGAATAAAAGATAATCAAGAAAGAGTTATGCATTATTCTACCACAAGTCAGCAATGTTAATGCTAACTACCATTTCAATCCAACAACTTCACCATTATTCCATGTTTTCAATCCGACAATTTTTCTTAGCTATTTTACCTTAGGAGGGAGGAAGCAAGAACCATGTTTTCAGAGAAGTGGAGGTCTGAATCTTATCTGAACTGTGGAAATAACTGACTAAGCCATGCCATAAGGGTTGTTCTCCAAACAGGACAGGGCCAAGCCTGACGGTTGTTTAATTAGGTTGGTGACAGATTGGCCATAGGAACACTCCAGGACATAAACCAAGACAACAAATGTCGAGCCAACTTTTGGTTATTTCGGCATCAGAAAAACTTTTTTTGTTCACACTGGAAAGCTATGAATAGGATTTATATCATAAAAAAGTACCAAAAAGAACGGGGCCATCATAGTATTTTTCTCAACTCCTCCAAGAAAGAAGGTTGGTAATTGGATCGTTTATTGATCTAGGCCTAATAGACACTATTTTCTCTAGCGTCGATGAAAGGTAAGAACGTGAATTCAGGTATAGAACCGTATAT